AAGAATCGCCTCTGTCGTTGGATGAAAGGATAAAATCCGCGGAAATCAAATTTGCCAAATTAATAGCCGAAAAAAATATTCCGTATCGAACCGCAGAGACGATTCTTGAAGTTTTCAAAGACATTGGGCAAGATCCTGATGTCTTGAAACATATGTCGTTCGGTCGAACAAAGTGTTCAAATATTATATCAAACGTTTTGTATCCTTTAGAAACAAAATGTATTTCTAGTGTTTTACAAAACACTAAATTTTCTATTTATATTGACGAAACATCCGACTCGACCAACGAGAAATGGATGACGTTTCTTGTTCGTTATGTTGCACCCGAGACTTTGGATGTTCGAACGGAATTGGTAGAATTATTACATCTTGATGCCAGAAATTGTGGCGCAGATAATTTATTTAAAACATTTGAAATTGCCATGATAGAAAGAGAAATTCCGTTCGAAAATATTGTCGCGTTGTCATGTGACAACGCTGCTGCTGTCATGACAGGGCGACACTCGTCCTTTATGACAAAGCTTGCAACAAAATGCAGGGACAAATCTTTGACTGTCCGCTGTCCGTGTCATCTGTCTGCAATGGTAGTGCGCGAAGCGTGCAATACCATTCCAGACATATGCGAGGAGTTGTTACGAAAAGTAGCAACTTTCATATACAGTAGTCCCAAACGTTCGGCTATATTCCGCGAATTTCAGCAATGTTTTCAAACAACCGACAGAAAAATTTTAAAATTGTGTTCTACGCGATGGTTATCGCATTATACATCCGTAGTTACACTTTTAGAGAATTGGGACTCTGTATTGCTTTTTTTGCAAGAATTGACAATAAGCGAGAAATCAGATTCCGGGGAACGTCTGTTAATCTCGATGCAAAATCCAGAGGCCAAAGCATATCTTTATTTTCTAAATTACGCTCTTGAGTTTTTTTATAAAGGGTATAGCCGAATAAGGGGGTCAAATGTGCCCCCAAACCGAATGGAACGAGCCACGGATCATTCGATAGCAAAAAAAAAATAACCCCTGTGTGCAAATTTTTAACTTCAAATCTCGACCGTGGGGGTAGTAATGGGGTGAAAACGAAAATCATGTTTTTGAATTATTTCTCTTGACCTATTGAGTAAAAAAATGTAAAAAAATTCAGAGACATTTCGGGTACCGGGGCACATACTTTGGGAGATTTTCAGATTTTTTGATTGAAGAACCAGGTAGTGAAAAATAAAAAACAGCAAAAAATGCCGAAAAATGTCGATTACGTATTGAAGGAGGCCCGGAACTACTTTTATACTTTTACAGTAAACAGGTATTACTATTACTATTACTCTCAATTTTTTTCAGATTTTTCATTTTGGTGCGCCGCAGTGAAAAAAAATAAAAACCGAGTTTTTCCTCATTTTCTGCGTATTAGAGTAACTTACACGTTGAATTTTTATGCGTCCTTCAATATATAAGTCTTTTGTAGACTGTTTAATGTTTCTACACTAAGCAGAATTACATAACAATTGAAACAAATAAAATAAAGCCAACCGTTGAGCGCCATATATCCTAGAAAATCAACGATATTTTCAACGGCGTCGATGGCGCAGTTGTTAGAGTGTCCGACTGGTGAACCGCTGCAAGTTTTTTTACCATAGGTTCGAGTCTCTCTTCTGGACTTAGTATTTTTTTTTCTTCATTATTTTTTTTTTCAAATTCTAACTATATAACAATGCTTTATATTTATTTATAAATGTTCTGATAGCATTTTACAAATATTTTAACCTGAAATATGTATAAATATAGTCTTGGAGTGTTTTTTGCGTTTTTATTTTTTTTGTCAACCACGATTATTGTTTAACATCTCTTACACTGAAATTAATGTGAAATGTTAGTTTTCAAATCTCTTACCTTTGACTATTGTGAATGGATCGGAGCAGAAGATTGTATATTGGCTTACTATTACTTCTTCTCGCCCTTCGATCAAGCAGATCTTTCCTTCTCGTTCTCTTTCTTTGATAAATATGAATGTTTGCTGCGGCTTTAGTATCTAACGTAGACATGTAAGGGTTATTATCCTTTCCTTACTGCTGGTTTTAAAGATAATGGAAACACTTGTAGGACCAACCTCTACGGACCATGCCAAGTAATTATGTATAAATCCCATCGCATACAGTAGCTTGAACTGAGTAATTAAAAAATACATTGTGAAACCCGAATGCGACAATCACCCATTGACCTGAACGGTCTGAGCCCTCACCCAACGAACCTTTATTTCCTTCGTAACGCAGGTAGGACAATTAATCATTTTTCCCCGTGGTTTCCATCGAGCAATGATACTTCATTCAAAAATAAGCATGAAACGATCAAACTGGTACTTAAAAATGGGTTTATTAGAAAAAAGTATCATTGGCAGAGAGTGGGTTAATAGATTTGGCGTGGAATGGCCCTTACATGTCTACGTTAGATACGGAAGCCGTAGCAAACATTCATATTTATCAAAGAAAGAGAAAAAGAAGGAAAGATCTGCTTGATCGAAGGGCGAGAAGAAGTAATAGTAAGCCAATATACAATCTTCTGCGCCGATCCATTCACAATAGTCAAAGGTAAGAGATTTGAAAACTAACATTTCACATTAATTTCAGTGTAAGAGATGTTAAACAATAATCGTGGTTGACAAAAAAAATAAAAACGCAAAAAACACTCCAAAACTATATTTATACATATTTCAGGTTAAAATATTTGTAAAATGCTTTCAGAACATTTATAAATAAGTATAAAGCATTGTTATATAGTTAGAATTTGAAAAAAAAAATAATGAAGGAAAAAAAATCCTAAGTCCAGAAGAGAGACTCGAACCTATGGTAAAAAAACTTGCAGCGGTTCACCAGTCGGACACTCTAACAACTGCGCCATCGACGCCGTTGAGAAATATCGTTGATTTTCTAGGATATATGGCGCTCAACGGTTGGCTTTATTTTATTTGTTTTAATTGTTATGTAATTCTGCTTAGTGTAGAAACATTAAACAGTCTACAAAAGACTTATATATTGAAGGACGCATAAAAATTCAACGTGTAAGTTACTCTAATACGCAGAAAATGAGGAAAAATTCGGTTTTTATTTTTTTTCACTGCGGCGCACCAAAATGAAAAATCTGAAAAAAATTGAGAGTAATAGTAATAGTAATACCTGTTTACTGTAAAAGTATAAAAGTAGTTCCGGGCCTCCTTCAATACGTAATCGGCATTTTTCGGCATTTTTTGCTGTTTTTTATTTTTCACTACCTGGTTCTTCAATCAAAAAATCTGAAAATCTCCCAAAGTATGTGCTCCGGTACCCGAAATGTCTCTGAATTTTTTTACATTTTTTTACTCAATAGGTCAAGAGAAATAATTCAAAAACATGATTTTCGTTTTCACCCCATTACTACCCCCACGGTCGAGATTTGAAGTTAAAAATTTGCACACAGGGGTTATTTTTTTTTTGCTATCGAATGACCCATGGCTCGTTCCATTCGGTTTGGGGGCACATTTGACCCCCTTATTCGGCTATACCCTTTCCTTATACCTTACATAGGTCGGAAAGTAAAAATGCTGGGACAGTCGAGGCTTGGAATCGTATGCCACTTATCGCGAGGTCGTATTTCAGTTGTTTTGTCTTTTACAAGAGCAAGAAGGAAAGGCTCACACTAACGTTCTTTATCGATTTCCCGAAGTTGTGCGCAAGCGCCGAGCTCACGTACACGTGGCTCGTGCGGTAGTATACGTCTGCTATCCCCACCACTCCATTAGACGCTAAGGAAGTTCGTCGTCACTGTTGTCGATTTCGATGCACTCAATTATGCCAGATCTGGCCACACTGCCCGGCGGTGCTTTTCTGGCATCTCTGATCGAGACGAAGACGAATAAACTTTTACCAACCCTTTTTCGAACATACTTAGTAGTTTGATTTTTGCGCGTCTCGCCGAGCAGAGCGGTTCAGCGCTCCACGGGCACCAACCTACCGTCCTTTTTCCCTAAACCGCGATCTCGGGACGTAACACGTTCATTCCGTAGTACCGAGTGAGTCGTCATTCGTTAGCGTTCCACTAATTTCCCTTAGAGGAAATTCAATGAATTAGAAATGCCCCAAATTTAAATTGTATTAATTAAAAATATTAATTTAATTGTATTATTTAAAAATAACAACATAGATAATTTTGATGGTTTTAAATTAGTCCAGCTTTTGAAAATATCCTTTCGCCAATTCATCTAATATTCCCTACTTTGCATATTAAAATATATGGTAGGTTTTTACTCATAATAGCTGCTTTAGCTATAATTGGCTCTTCTAATAATATAAGTCTATCATGTGATATACTCATACGCAAACACAATCATTTTAATTAAATTTTTTTTATATTCTGTTATTCTTACATTATTATAAATATATTTATTACACACTTAATCAAACCTTGCTAAACTGCTTTTATAATAATTTTAATTATAAAGTTATAACATAAGTGACATGTATATAAATTTAATTTTTAACATTATTCATAGAAAGTTTTTATACATTAATATGACATTTTATATATTTGTATATTATAAAGAAATAAGTTGGAATTTAAAATTGCAAACAGGTTCGTTTTGCGTATACATTACTTTGTTGAAAAATTTCACGAACATTTATGAAACAAATGTTGAAACAATGAGAAATAAAACTTATACTTATAATCTAAATTCTATTTAACACTTTTAATTTTTCCTTTTCTTTCTCCTAATAAGAAAATGATGTTAACATTGCTTTTAGACCGTATTATAATACATATACAGTCTAAGGACATAATTCGTGAAAAGTGAAAAGAACGCTCCCCGCTAATCAAAAGTGATCACGAAGAATCACAAATCACTGCGAAAAATCACCATGATTGGGAATGAATGTGATCGAATCACGAGTGATTCAAAAGTAGCAATTCACGCCATCTCTAAGTTCAGACTGTGAAAACTTACTGTGTATTGTATATTTCATGCCTTCCATTTTCAATCGGAAACTGTCGGCATTGTATTAGATCGTGTCTTTAATTTCGTCCTCTTTAAGGACGTAGTTTACTGAAAGTCATAAATTTTCAACTAGGCATATTAATAAGTAATTGTAAGCAATAATGGCACAGAATAAGATTAATGAATTCGCATCGCGTTTCTCGAAAAATCCAAATGGATTATCCCTCGGTTTTAAGTTACTTGCAGCGGCCGGCGTGGCGGTTTATAGTGTTACGAAATCCTTGTATACAGGTTAATTTGTTTTTACGTTTAATCCTTAATTATCGTCGATAACTTGAATCTTTCGCACGTATTCGCTATATATATATTTTTTACATGTATCATTATTATATCTCATCAGTAAAAAAAAGAAACTTGAATTAAAATTGTTTCCTAAAATTAATTTTAATATTTGAAATATTGATTGAAACAGTTTTTTTTAAATATATTTAATTACATAATTATATTTTGTTTTAGTGGAGGCGGGTCATAGAGCAATAATGTTTTCTCGTTTGGGAGGCATTCAGAAAGACATAATGAGCGAGGGTTTACATTTCCGTGTTCCATGGTTCAATTACCCAATTATTTATGATATTAGAAGTAGGCCCAGAAAAATATCTTCGCCTACAGGATCCAAAGACTTACAAATGGTTAATATTTCTCTTCGAGTACTTTCCAGACCTGATGCAAGCACTTTACCTACAATGTACCGTAATTTAGGTCTAGATTATGACGAGAAGGTTGGTGAAAATCTTATTGTAATATTATTTTGACATTTTAATAGTGAAGACATATTTGTATTTTAGGTTCTGCCAAGTATTTGTAACGAAGTATTAAAATCAGTTGTCGCTAAATTTAATGCTTCTCAGCTTATTACACAGAGACAACAAGTTTCAAACTTAGTACGAAAAGAATTAACTGAACGTGCACGTGATTTTAACATTGTCTTGGATGATGTATCGATAACCGAACTGAGTTTTGGTAAAGAATATACTGCTGCTGTAGAAGCTAAACAAGTAGCTCAACAAGAAGCTCAAAGAGCAGCTTTTGTAGTCGAGAGAGCTAAACAAGAAAGACAACAGAAGATTGTTCAGGCAGAAGGAGAAGCAGAAGCAGCTAAAATGATATCCTTTAATAGTAATAATTTAAGAATGTACAAAATAATAATCAACTATAGATGAGATTTTATTTTCAAATATAAATGTCCTTAACTTCTTCATACCTGGGTTTAGCTGTAAGCCAAAATCCTGGTTATCTAAAGTTGCGAAAATTACGAGCAGCACAAGCAATTTCCCGCACGGTAAATATGCAAAATTTAATTGCGTTTATAATACTAACGAATAGTTAATGGTAATATTGACTTAATTATACATGTAATTTTTGTTTCAGATTGCAACCTCTCCAAATCGCATATTCCTTAGTGGTAACAATCTGATGCTGAATATTCAAGATCCATCATTTGATGATTCTTCGGACAAATTAAAAAGTAAGAAGTAAAGACAATGTCAAATTTTCTTATGATTATTTCTTTCTACTTATAATCAATGTTATACAGTGCAAAATAATTTTCAATGTTGTACATGTAGGAACCAAAAAATATTGTTAATAAGATTCATTAGATGTTTTTAGATATAAAATAATGCACCTGTACTTGATTTCTTCTTTATGCCATATATTACGATGATGCTCGCTCGCAAATCTCGAGCTCATATTTTTTCAGGTCATGCAGAGATGAGCTGGAACGATGCTATGAAAAGTGCAGTGAAATCTTTAAAAACCGATCATCAAATAAAAGTGATCAATGAAAAGCCATTAGTCCAGACTGTACCAGAGTCGTCGGAAGAACAAATATCCATTTTATTGAATTTAGCAAATAATGGGGCAAAAATGATAGTTTCTTAAATTCAAAATTTAAAGGATCTGAAGAGATCTTGCGATGCGAGCTCATCTTTTCTAACATATTCCGTATCCAAATCCCACCACATATTATAATATGTTACATTAATAGAATTTTTAACGGAATTAAACAATTTCTCGATAATACATTATTAAATATTTGACATTGGTAAATAAATTATAATTTTAAATTGTCTCTTTAAGCCTTCGTATATGCATAAATTTTCTTTATAAAAATAATTTATATTTTATTTTTGTATAAGATAATATGAAACACATGTATATTTTTTCTCACATTATGTTCTTTAAAATTATAGATCGAAAGTTGATAATTTTGTAATTATTCGAGAAAAATGTACTATGTATACAAATCTCACTGCATATATCGAAAATGAACTGTATTTTGAAATTAATATTCGATCGAAAAATTGGTTTGTCTGAATTTTGAACAACCAACGTTACCTCTTAAGACTCCATTCTTCTGTGTCAATCGTCAACGATCTTCTGTTTTATTCTATCCCGTTTGCTTTCTTACTGGACATTCGGAGATATAGCCAATCGGACACATTTTTTCTGACTGACTTTCTCAGCAACGCACAGTATTTTATACTTTATCCTCATACTTCTTTTTTGCTTTTCAATTACTGTGAACCTTTAACACATCTCTCATCAATGCACGTGGCTTTATTTTTCATTTTCTGATGAAAGCCGAACGCGCATGTGTGGTGGGTTGTTGATACCAAGTAGAAAGGAGAATATAAACATAAAGGTAAAGAAGGACTAAATAAGTTTTATTGGCAATGAAAAGGTTGGACTACTCTTACATATTCAAATACGCCTGATCATGTAATTAACGAAAGCTGTGGAAACGGTAAAATGTACACAGGCGACACTTTTGTCGGGACCTTTAATGTTCGATATCCTAAAACTTCGACCGATGAATATTCTTTAATTTTTACATGTAATTAGCGTCACTAATAAATCAGATTTCTATTGTATAAGTATGGCAACATTGCTTACATAGCGCACTAGAGGGAGCACGTGGTTAAAAACTGGGAATCTCATTTTTTAATAACAGGGGAAAATTAACAAATTTGAGAATATCGTCTTATTTGTCTTCTTTTTTTAGTAATTTTTTTGGGAACCGGGTAAGAAACTCGTAGACTGTCGGTATATTACAGGTATAAATATATTTCACAGTGATTTTTAATACTACTCGGTTACAACAACTAGAATTTTACGATAAAACAGCGAGTCTATGTTTTGGGACCTATACAGGGTGTTCGGCCACGCCTGGGAAAAATTTTAATGGGAGATTCTAGAGGTCAAAATAAGACGAAAATCAAGAATACCAATTTGTTGATGGAGGCTTCGTTAAAAATGTGCAGGATTTCGAAGATATGCTCATTCACCAAAAATTATTGTAATTGACGAACGATTTGAAAAATTTAGGCATCTAACCCCTGTCGATTTATCTTAAAAATTCGTTCATGACTTTTAATAACTTCGTTTGACCCCCTACAGAAAAATTCTCTAATACTTTTTTGTAAAAAATTCGCATAACATTTTGGGGTAACATTTCTGGCTAGAAATTATATTTTCGGTAAGAAATTTTTTTCTCGAAAGTGTGTAGGATTTTGGGGGTATGTCTATTGACCAAAAATGATTGTAATTGATCCCTGCAACTAAAATCATTTTTGTTAGAACGATTTGAAACTTTTTAATTTCACCGAAAAATTTGACCACCTACTCGAATTTTTTTCACGAAAGTGCGTCGTATTTTGAGGTATGTCTATATTCGCCAAAAATGCTTGTAATTGACCTCTGTAACAAAATATAATTTTTTTAGTATGATTTGAAATTTTTTAATTTCGTCTAAAAATTTCAGTACCTACTTGAATTTTTTTCTTAAAAGTGGATAGGATTTCAGGGGTATCTGTATTCACCAAAAATGATTGTAATTGAGCCGCGTAACCAAAAATAATTTTTTCAGAACGATTTGAAATTTTTTAATTTAGTTTTTTAATAACTTTTTAATGAAGCCTCAGTCAAGAAATTGATATTCTTGAACTTCGTCTTATTTTGGCTTCTAGAATCGCCCATTAAAATTTTTCCCAGGGTTGGCCAAACACCCTGAATATCTATATTCTGGTAAATTGATGGGGAAAGGCGAGGCTTTAGCGACTTAGGTGATGGATGATGAACTTTGCACGAAATTATACTTTGAGCGGCGTATTGTTAGTCAGCGTGCTGCGCTGACTAATTGTAAGATATTTTTGCGGGTATTCGGCTATTTGACGGAACTGACGGAAGAGTATTGTGACTCAGGATAGATACAGATAACAAACAGGGGACTGGTCCTTCAACACCTCCCTCACCCAAAAAAATTAAATACATAGGATTCAATTTACAAACTATCAAAAATTCGCAGTATAGAGTTGTATGTTAATATAATACAATATTTTTTAAGAATTCCTAATGCCTAAAATAACCTCTTATAGATTAATAAAAAAAAATTCTTAAAATAATATTTATGTACTCAATTATACGGATTACTTATAACGGCGTATATTACAAGGAGCAATATAAAATTGTAATAAAATAATAGAAAATAGTAGAAAACAGTTTCTACTAGGAAAATAGTGGTTTCCTTTCCTCATAGAAAAATTGATTGTTCAATTTATAAAATTACATCTAAAATTTACAATAATTTAATAGTCGGTAGTTAGGATTTTGGATTTAGAATTTAGTATTAGAACTTAAAATTTTAAATTACGTCTAAGATTCGCAATAAATTAACAGTTAGGAGTTATTTAGAATTTAGAATTTCGTAACTAGAATTACAATTTCATACAAAAATTTAAATAGGATATTACGTAACCTAAAACAATATTATATAAGATAAAAGTTTATTAAGTATATTAAATTGGAGTAGTATAAGAAAGATGCTATGACGGTCAGGATAGTGGTCGGGCGTTTGAATAAAATGAACACGGGGTGGACTTTCTAAAACCGTATTTTGTGACTGCTCGCGGCAAAAGCCAATACAATTCTGTACCTTGACAGAAAACCAGGGTCGTGAGGGTACCCTTGACAGTACGGCCCTCCTTTTTCCAAGTGTCCTGGCCGATCCTCCGTTAAAAGGGGGAAACGCGCCAAGAAGAAGCACATGGTCTGCTTCAGGCATTTATTTATCTCTATGTTTCTGACATACTTTTGCGTGTTTTTACTTTGAAATTTCTTCTCGTTGAAATATTACTCATTGTCAAAGCTGGACGAGTATATGAGTCTTCTACGCTTTCTTGTTCATCTGAAAATTGTCTTATTTTATTGATACATGCTGCTTCTCTTCTGGAGTCGTATGTGACTACATCTCTTGATGTCTCTCTGTATTCGCTATGAATGTCTGAATCAAAATTGCAATTTAGAAGGATGTCGAGAACACAGGCGTGTTGTCGGATTCAATAATTCGGACACTTTACACGTAACTATATAAACTATATTATTTAATATTATTATAACTGTTTAACATAAAAGAACATAAAAACGTGAGCGTAAAAACTATAGATAACTGGTACTTTCGACCAGAGTTCAATGCAGAGTGTCTTTGTGCTGTCGATGTCGAAACCTCTCAATTCCTATCTACATATTATAAACAAATGAGGTCATTGATACGAAGGACCCCTTTTACTACGCACGTTTGAGGAGCAGACTCTCGAACGCATTTCGGCCTAAACCCGGTCTAAACACATATACTTGTTACAAAGGGTATAGCCGAGTAAGGGGATCAAAAGTGCCTCCAAACTAAATTGAACGTGTGATGGGATCATTCGATAGCTTAACAAAAGAAAACCCTATGTGCCAATTTTTAACTTGAAATCTCGATGGTGGGGGTAGTAATGCGGTGATAAAGAAAACGATGTTTTTGCATAATTACTCTAGTCCTATTGAGTAACAAATGTAAAAAATTCGGAGACATTTCGGGTACCAGGGCACATATTTTGGAAGCTTTTCAGATGTTTTGATTGAAGAACCAGGTAGTAAAAAATAACAAACCGTAAAAAATGCCGAAAAATACCGATTACGCATTGAAGGAGTTGCAGAACTACTTTTATATTTTTACAGTAAACAAGTATTGTTATTACTATTTATTGGAATTGGGTGAAAAAGCAGTACACTTTGTAAGTAAAAGTGAAACTTTATTCTGTGGTTTGGAAGTCTTTACTCTGTTAAAACTGAATAAGAAGTGAAGCGACGCTCAGATCCCCTAAAAGAAAATTTGGCGTCCACTTAAAAAGGAAAGAAACCATTGCCTGCATCATGTTTATTTCCCTGGCCCTCGACGACAAAACAGACCCAAGCCCCTAGACCCATGGTGCCAATACGGTCTTCGTATGCAGACAATGGACAGTGTTTCTCACTGTTAGATTCAGTTTTGTAATGATTATTTATTAAAAATCCAACATGCCTCCTCAAAAATGAATCGGGTGTGTTTAATTTAACTTAATAAATTCTATTTCTATTTTAACAAAAATCGCCCTTCCTTGTCTTTTCTGGGGAACTACATATGACCCAACATTTGTTGCGAGGATTAGGAAAACCCAGAAAAACCTAATCAGGTCATTTCAAGTACTTAACTATACTTATATTTATATAATATTTCAATTAATATTATTTTGTTTGAAAATCACTCGAGACCCAGTCTTGTTCGAAATTCCAAGAATTTAGCTGCTGGGAGTGGTTTTGTATCTGCTACCTGGTGTTCTGTACAGACAAATTCAAGTTTTATTACATTTTTCTCTATCTGCTCTCTAAAGAAATGATAATTGATATCAATATGTTTCAATCTTTTGTGATTGCCTGGAGTGTTTGCTATATTTATACAGGCATTATTATCCTCATAAATTACAATTGGCTCTGAATTATAAATGTTAATGCTAGTTGCTAATGATTTTAACCAAAGAGCTTCTCTTACAGCTTCAAACAATGCCATATATTCTGCTTCCGTAGATGAAGCAGCTACTGATGCGTGTCTTTTAGTTGTCCAACAAATTGTGCATCGTTCGAATAATTTAAATAA